ACAATGCCAAACACTATGAAACGTGAACATTAACACAAGAGCTGCTAACCCGGAAACTAAAAAAGTCAAAAAGCTGAAATTTTAAGGGAACGTTTTCTCACAGTCGTGGTGGTCAGTCTCAATTCTTTTAGCTAGAAGCATGTGCCGGAAAAAGATGCAAACTACTAAGCGACGATAAAAAAGCTAAGACAAAGAAGCCAAAAAGGTCGGTTGCAAAATTATAGCAGTTTAAACTCAATTTTTTGGAATTTATACGCTGAGAATACAAACAGAAATTGGTCACACAGCCAAGAAATATCTAAAAGAATTTCACGACGTGTCCTCATTTTCCTCAGTACTTTCCTTTTTATAGCAGCCGTGTCAGACAAAAATAACTGAAAAGAAACTTACATGAGGCTCGACCGCACGTCCTGGATGATTTACCCATCCTTTACCCAAAAGGCTATTCCCCACGCTCGGATGATCCGCCAACAACAGCTCATCTTGCAAAGACATTGGCCGAAATTCCTGAAATATTCGATTTTTTTTAAGGCTTCAACTACATATTTGTCATCCGTTTTTATGCTTTTTTTTTTGCATCTATGCAGTGAAAAATGCATGTTGCCGAGGGGTTGTCTGTGTGTTCTTCTGCACCGGTTTTTCATCTCAAAACCTACAAAAGCTACAGGGCTGGAACTTTGGAAACTTAATTTGTATGCAAGTACGGGTACCGACCCCCAAAATGGGCGGCCTTGCCGGTGTGGTATCCAAATACGGACCCGCCAAAGTTTTTGGCGGGCAAACTGCTAACTCGGGAACCAGAAAAGCTAGAAAGCTAAAAATTTGAAGGAATGTTTTCTCACGATCGTAGTGGCCAATCCCAATCCTTTTAGCCAGAAGCATCTACTGAAAAAAAAATTGCCGTTAGCAACAAAAATCTGCGGAGAACTGCACAAAAAACGCATCTTTTCGCCGACAGTTGGTGCGTTGACCAATTATGTCTTAATGTTATGCTTTACGACAGGAAATGATAAAACGCAAAAATGTCGAGGCACAAATTCGAAGCAGCTGGTTCAGGACGAATGGCCTAGCACAATCATGTAAAACCATGCAATTACATCTGTATAACATGAACTGCGTAAGGCTCGTATCGATGAGAAAAAGCGATTCTAACTAATACCTTTGGGATACCTGCACCACCGTTAAACACAGCCTGTTCCCCCCCCCCCCCCCCCCCCCCCCCCCCCCCCCCCCCCCCCCCCCCCCCCCCCCCCCCCCCC